AAAATTTTCTCCCATTCTGTAGGTTGTCTGTTTGCTCTTGTGACAGTTTCTTTGGCTGTGCAGAAGCTTTTTAATTTGATCAGATCCCATTTATTTATTTTGAACAATGAGCTTGTTTTAAAAAGCATGGGTATTACTTGGGCAAAACTCAGATTATCCTTCTAAAACTCAGAACAGATCATATTATTCCCTTCTTAAAAACTCTTTCTGTTATAAACACTGCCAACAACATCAAATCCTATCTTATTAGTAAACTTACCATCTTTCAAGGCCCAAATCATACATTTAAATTCCTCTGAAACATTCCCTAACCTCCTCCTTCCCTGTCCATGAACAGATATTGCTCAATCTGTCTATGCCCAGACCTGAGATACTTGAAAGCAAGAACTGCAATGTTTTCATTTTTTGTCACCTTGGGAACTGGCAGAGAGTACCTTAGAACCTGGTAGAGCACACAAGCATCTGCTGAACTAAATTATATTTCATCAAGTATTTCAAGAATATATAATGAAATATATATTTCATTGAATATATACTGAATATATATTCAATATATACTGAATATATACTGAACTGAATATAAATGAAATATTTTACTACACATTTAGAAATAATGCTAAGGCTATTCAACTGAAATCGCTTATCAACTTATATAAATACTTAAGTTGAAAAAAGAATGCTAGATGTTTATTTTATTTTTAAACTTCAAGAGCTTATGCAGACAGAAACATATTGACAGTATGTTTCTTGCAAACACTCCTTTTTTAACAAAGGGACAGGAACAGAAGAAACAAGGGCTATCCTGACAACCAAAAGCAAAAGCAAAAAAAAAAAAAAGACCCATGAGACCCAGGATGTTTTCTTACTGTGTACCAAGTGTCTTATTAGAACATGGTGAAGTTTAACCTCATAAAGATATGCTCTTTTGCTTTTGCACGGCCAAGGAAACTATCATTAGACAGCCCACAGAATGGGAGAAAATATTTGCTCTCTACACATCTGATAAAGGGCTGATAACCAGAATCTATCTAGAATTAAAAAAAAAAAAAATCAACAAGAAAAAATCAAACAACCCCATCAACAAATGGG